TGCCAGGCCAAGCCTGTGCTGGCCTCTGCATTGGCACAGCGTCACAGCGGATGTGACAGGGTTAAGGCTGTACCACACGGCGAACCTGGGCCAGGACGCCATTTCTTTTCTTTTTATTGTTTTTAAATTATTTATTTAATTTCATTTATTCATTTATTTTAATTTGACCAGAGAGAGATACTCACACATACACAGAGAGCGAGAGAGAGAAAGGGAGAATGGAAGCCGCCAGGTCCGGGACTCGAACTGTGGCCGGCCATGTGGGAGTGTCCAGCACCTTAACCACCACGCCACCTGCTGGCCCCTGTTTATTTTCAACTCCAACCCTCACCACCCCCTTCTAAAGTTGCCACAATAGTGCTTTAAATTTCCAGGTATCAGCAGTACTCACACCCTGAACCAAAAGTCTTTCATATATTTAGACGTCCTTTTAATCTATTCTTTTACATTTGATTGCTGTGTATCTTTACAGCATACAAAATGAATTTTCCCAGCATGCTCACACTGTGTATTAGTCCAGTCAGAAACACTGCCATCCTCCTCTTTTGTTTTTAATACAGAATTATTTATTTCATTTCATTTATTACTATATTTCTTAACGTGCTATATTCATCAGAGAGAGGCAGAAAGACAGAGAGAGAGTGAGAAAGCAAGCACTCGGTCCAGGACTCTAGCGGTGGTCAGCCATGAGGGTCCTTTTCCTCTGGATCCCAGCGTCTCCTTCAGGAGGGATGTTCCGGAATGGGAGTGAAACTAGGAGGGGTCTGCACACAGGCCAGGGCCTCACTCGCCCTCTGGTTATCTGCTTGTGATCGGCGCTGCTCACATACTGGTGCTCGTTTGTCTGCGTTTTTGGCTGTCCTTCTGTCTTGCCCTGACATGGTCTATGAGCCAGCTCCAAAGCTCCTGCAGGTCAGGCCCTCCTGCCGCCATCCCAGCCTTGCTGCCCGTTTTGGTCATTGTGCCAGCCCCCTGTCTGCCTGTTAAGAGCTCCCACTGGGACCAGCAGTTAGCGTAATGGCTATGTCGCTGGACTCCCATGTAGTAGACCGTGGTTCGCGTCCCAGAGTGCGGTGTGGCCAACCCCCTGGGGGGGATTTCTCGCTGTCTCTCTCTCTCTCTCTCTCTCTCTCTCTCTGTCTGGTGAACGCCAGCACCCTATAGCGAAAACCTCTCAAAAAAAAAGACCTTCCACCTGCCCTCAGTGTTCCCGGATCTTCTCTCCTCCATTAGTACCGGGAGCCAGGCTCTGAGACAGCGTCTCCCCCATCAGTTCCAGCCTACGAAGGCCAGCCATTACAGCCCACCCCTCAGCGGCTCCTCGCCTCCTGGTGTCCTCCGGGCCCTGTTGGTACATGTGGTCCGCTAGTGGGCACTGTGCTCTTACACGCAGGCGCGCTCTGGCGTGCTGCCTGTCGGGGCCTCGGGGCTCTGTCCTAGTTGGTCGTGGCAGCTCTGGTGACTCTGCTTTGTTTACCATGGTCCTTGCCTCTAAGAGCCGTCTCAGCTGCATAGTTGAACCATCGCTCAGGGCCATTCCCAGGGTGTAAATCCCGCATTGTGAATCACCCAGCTTTATAGTCTGCCTCCCTAGGATCAGTCCGCCCAGGATGCTATCCCAGGCCGTTAAGGTTGGAAAAAGCAAGAGGGAGAGGCCTTTCATGAGGAGCTTTGGACAGTAATTTTGGGGAGTGTCTATTTATGACCCCAAGGTGTAATGTCTTCCTCTAGCTTTATGGCTGTATTTTTGTCCAATAAGTCTTTTTTACACTGCAGGCACTGAGCTGTTTTTAGTAGACACAGAGAAGTAGGGTGGCTGAGCGGAGGAAGTTCCCGGTTTGAAAACCGGCTCTTCGTTAACCAGCTTCTTGACCTTGTTCAAGTCCCCAGATGGCAAATAGATTTCCTCTCACCTGTCAGCTCCTCTGGGTGGGCAGGGACTTCTGGAGCGCTGCTCTAGAGCTGGGTACAGGAAGGAGGCACGCCCTGAGCAACGCCCATGGGCGCAGAGAGAGCTGTGGGAGGGCAGATGCTGGTGCTGACTCTGCACACGTTACCCGCCGTCCACACCTGGTCTGCACTGCACCTCCAGCGCTAACAGTGACAGCCTGTAACCCCGTGTGCACCCCCCAGGCCCCTCAGGACAAAGTCCTCTGCTGAAAGCCCTCAGCGGGAATTACTCGGCTCCCCTGATTGTCACCAGCTCAAGCAACTCTGTGTACCTGCGCTGGTCTTCTGACCACGCCTACAACCGGAAGGGATTTAAGATCCGCTATTCAGGTGAGTACAACCTGGGGACTCAGGAAGGGCCACAGCCGGAGCCCCTGAGCCGCTCATCCAGAGCACCCAAGTGAGCCATGGCCATCTCTCCACTTCACCAGCAGAGGGCTGTGGTCACCGAGTAAGAGCAGAAGGCCTCACTGTGGGGAGGAGGCCGGGGTCAGGGGACTCTAATCCCGTCTGTCTTACCCACGTCTGCCCAGGAAGCCCAGCGGGCGCTCCTCGGGCCAGTGGAGGGGACGGTCTGCGTGGGGCTTTGGTCCTCCTCCCTCCTGCCCTGGGGAGCCCACACAGGGTTTGCAACGCGGCTTCTCTTTGGCTGAGATTTTTGTCTGTCTTCTTTGTACTCCCAGCACTCCTAATGGCACCGGAAGATAACCATTTGTCAGTAGCTATTTGTTGACTAAATTAATGAAATAAGCTGAAGCCACATGTTAGAGGAAATCACGTGGCAGGCCCATAACCAGGCCCTCGCTGCAGTCACACCTTTCTGGACCTCCCCCACAGGATGGCTCTACTTTCCAACTCTGTTTGGGCGCTTAAGGGGCTTAAGGGCCTGGCCTTTAGCTGCTGTCTGGCTGCAAAGAGGACCCAGCGCTGCTGGCAGCATTTTTGTTTCCTTTTCTTGTTCTTCTCTTTTACTCATGATAGAGCATGCTCGCATGCGTGGAGGGTGGGGGACGCCCTCCCCAGGGCCTGCTCACCTGCGATCCTGTCCTCCAGTCTTCAGGTCACTCAGATTCTGCATCCTCGCATGGGCGTGGCATGATTCAGGCTGACGGGGTTGGGGATTCGAACCCTGGTCACTGTGTGGGATCCAGCCTCTCTTGAGAAGCTCAGTACCACTGCACCATGGGGCCAGCCTTTCTAGGTTTTCATTTATTTTTTAATTTTCATTTAGGTTTCGGGGTTTTGTTTTGGGTTTGTTTTTTGGTTTTACTAAACTGACCGGGTGCTACACTTGTCGACATGACCACTCAGTCCTTCCGAGATAGTGGAGAACCTGGCAGTAGCGGAAACAAGGAAATGGGGGAGAAAGCGGGGTGGGGCCTGGTGAAAGCTGGAGCCTTCCTCCTCCTGGCGCCGGGTGCCCTGAGCCTCCTCTCGTTGTTCAGCTCCATACTGCAGCCTGCCCAGGGCTCCGCTCCATGGCTTCGTCCTGGGCCAGACCAGCACCCAGCCCGGCGGCTCCGTCCACTTCAGCTGCAATGCCGGCTACCGCTTGGTGGGACACAGCATGGCCATTTGTACCCGGCACCCTCAGGGCTACTACCTGTGGAGCGAGGCCATCCCTCTCTGCCAAGGTGAGACACGCGCAGGAAGGGGGTCATGGAAGGGGTCGGTCACAGAGTCACTGGGTTCCAACTCACATATGGGGTTTGTCCCAGGATCAGTCACTTCTCAATGTGGGTTTACTTATTGATGGTTCCTTCGCTCTTTCAGCAAACGTGTACGGAGGATCCACAACATCTCAGGCCCCAGGGATGGCACAGACAGACATCTCAGGGTCACGGGGGAGGGGGTAGGAGGGCACGGAATGCGAAGTGACGGTCAGCAAAAGCTGGATCCACACAAATACTGCAGTAGGATCCGGAACAGGGGGGGCCTTGGTCTCCTCCTCCGACAGCTGGAGGGGCCAGGGAGGGGCACGAGCTTGGGGTCCCAGAGCAAGCGGGTGATCAGACACGCAAAATGCGTGTGTCCCGTCTTTTCTCTTTCTCAGCCTCTGTCTTTTGATCTGTATCCTTTACGTTTAGCCTCTCTCTCCTATTTCATGCTTATCTCGGCAATCACCTCTTTAATGTAAAAGAGCTCGTCCTCGTTCCTTTTCCCCTCAGAGTATTTTGTGCTCATTTTAAGAGTACCATGCATCATGCGGACTTTTCAAGAAACTCTTGAGAAGGTTAAAGATGACGTATTTTCCGTTTTCTGGACTAGCAGCATTTCCTGAAGGAACTCGGCCCTCCTTGTACGCCATGTCTTTATCTCATCCACGCTGCCGGTCTTCTCCAGGTGCATGATGCTCCTGGACCACATTTCAAAAGGAAAGGCTACATGGACTTTTCTCAGGCACTGGATGTGAATTTCCTTTACTGGTGGTGGACTTCTTGTTTGTTTGTTTGTGTAGTATAGGGAGTGTGCATTTGAGGGGAGAAAGCGGGAAAGTGAGAAAGCACACCCCCTAGGGGAGGAGGACCGTGTTGCAGTCGCTTCTCCTTATTGGGGGCTTGCACGCACTGTGTGTGATTTTCAAGCCTCCAGGTTAGAGGTGGGGTCCAGCCGCCTAAACCACCATGCCCCCGGTGCTAGGGACCTCCCACGGCGGGAAGTTGAATCCAGTAGGTGGCAGAGGTATAGGGACAGGGCAGCCTTCGGACCTTCAGACGAGAGGCCTTCACCCCTAGAATTAGCAGGGCTTCCCTCTGGAAGCCTCCGACCGCAGAGCCCGACCCCTCCTCCCTTAAGTGGGGTGTGCCGTTTAGGAACTGCGCGGTGGAAGGAGTGGACAAGACTTTACTGGTGGTGGACTTCTTGTTTGTTTGTTTGTGTAGTATAGGGAGTGTGCATTTGAGGGGAGAAAGCGGGAAAGTGAGAAAGCACACCCCCTAGGGGAGGAGGACCGTGTTGCAGTCGCTTCTCCTTATTGGGGGCTTGCACGCACTGTGTGTGATTTTCAAGCCTCCAGGTTAGAGGTGGGGTCCAGCCGCCTAAACCACCATGCCCCCGGTGCTAGGGACCTCCCACGGCGGGAAGTTGAATCCAGTAGGTGGCAGAGGTATAGGGACAGGGCAGCCTTCGGACCTTCAGACGAGAGGCCTTCACCCCTAGAATTAGCAGGGCTTCCCTCTGGAAGCCTCCGACCGCAGAGCCCGACCCCTCCTCCCTTAAGTGGGGTGTGCCGTTTAGGAACTGCGCGGTGGAAGGAGTGGAGGAGAGCCGCCCCACACCTGGCCGCCCCACACCTGGCCGCCCCACACCTGGCCGCCCCGCCACCTCACCTCAGGCCCCCTGTGCCTTTCGGGCCATAGTTGCCTCACTTCTTTTCATCCATCACACACCGCTGTCTTCACTCCGTCTTCTGATTGTTCTGAAATCTCTGCTGAGGAGCCTTCCATTTTGTTTTTATTATGAGGTTTTCCCTGTCATGTAGTTTTCACTATAAGCCCATCAGGGGCTTGGACGGGGGTGGAGAGCAAAGATAAAAATAAGCGACCAGAATTTCGTGAGCCACAGTTGCCCGCAACCCTGTTTTCCTCTGCTAGCTCTTTCCTGCGGTCTCCCCGAAGCCCCCAAGAACGGGATGGTGTTCGGCAAGGAGTACACGGTGGGAACCAAGGCCATGTACAGCTGCAGCGAGGGCTACCACCTCCAGGCAGGCGCCGAGGCCACGGCAGAGTGCCTGGACACAGGCCTGTGGAGCAACCACAATGTCCCCCCGCAGTGTGTCCGTGAGTCCTGGGCAGGAGGGGCGTAAGGGGCGGGCGAGCAGCCGGAGATTTCTGCGAGGAGTGAGCTAGAGGCCCAGCAGTGAGGACAAAAGCTTTGCCATGGTCGTTAAGGGCTGCGCAGGGTGGGTGGGCTGCACCGGGCTGGGCTCCCATTTGGAGCTGTTCTCAAAACACTGGAGGACCGCTGTGCCTGAGACACGTCCGCAGACCCACGCCGGACTTAGGGCTGCCCGGGACCATCCCCCTCACATGGGAGAGCTGTCGAAAAGTCTGCACTGAGACCAGCAGATGGTGTAATGGTTACGGCGCTGGACTCCCACATAGCTGACCAGGGTTTGAGGCCCGCACCTGGTGGCTTAAACCTCATGCTGGGCTTGTGTGTGCATGTCCAAAATCAAGAGTGGACGAGAAGGGATTTCAGCGTGGCCATCCCCCGGGGGGCTGATTTTTTGCTCTCTATCTCTCTGTCTCTCACTGTCTCTCCAGTGAGCACACGCATGTCCTATGGCAAAAATCTCTCTAAAAAAGGAAAAAAGTCAGCCTGCACCAGTGTTTCTGGGTCACAGACCTCGACTGTGACAGTTTGTCGGCCAGAGTCTCAGACCAGCAGCCGAATGAGCCAGAGTCGGTCCAAACCGATAGGCTTTTGCTTTGCTTTCTTTGGCCTGCACTGTGCTTTGTTTGAAAAACTGAATTGCCTCCCGCAATTTTTTTTTAATTTGCTAGAGGACATGTGTGCTCACCAAAGACAGAGAGAGAGAGATAGAGAGAGGGAGAGAGAGAGAGGAAGAGAGAGAGGGGGAGCAAGAGGGGGGAGAAAGAGAGGGAGAGAGAGAGAGGAAGAGAGAGGGAGAGAGAGAGAGGGAGAGAGAGAGGGAGAAAGAGAGGGAGAGAGAGGAAGAGAGAGAGAGGGGGAGAGAGAGGGAGAGAGAGAGAGAGAGGGAGA